ATAATGGGATCATTAATTATTTTAACAAACAACAATAACAATATACTTCCAATAGTAACTTTGACTAGTTTCAAAATTTAATCCTTGAAACCCTTTGTATAGCAAATATTTAAATATTGATATTTAAAGTAAGCTGTAGCATGTCTTCCAGACCGATTTGGTCATCGGGACCAGCCTCAACGGAACCTAGCCATTAGCGCAGGACAGGAATATAGTGTTTAAGTGAATGCGCAAGCACAGGTGCACTCTCTATTCGCTCACTAGGCATGGGACGGTAAGCCGACACGACCGGAGAGAGATCAGGCGAGAACCAAAGGCTTTACGTGCTTTCCGAAGCACGGGGGGTTAGACACCACCAACTTCCACTGTCTTCGGGCAGCTACTGATAATTTCTTGCCGGAAAAATTCAATAATTGATTTTTTTCGGCCCAACCTGGATTCGAACCCGTAAACTCATGATCAGCAGTGGCGTTTACAACCACTAGACCATCGAGGCAGTGTCAAAAAACAAAAGGATTCATACAAAAAAAAATTCATCAAAATCCTATAGAGTTTAGGTTATTAATAATCGTAACCTGATAGTATTAAAATGTTAGATTTAATCAACATAAGAAAGTATCAGAAAGAACTAAGATTTCTTATTAAGATATATCCTGCAAAGTTTGCTTCGCTGAATAGAAATTGCTGTTTAATAAGGCGCATAGATTAATATTTACTGTACGATAAAGATTGCAAATGATGCATACTTTACCCTGAAGAGCCCATTAATACGCCTCACTCATACTCAATATTAAATGAACCTGGTTTTAAAATTAATACTCGTTATCTATATATTATTTACGTGACGGAACAACTTTGCATATTGCACCGCACGGAAGAAATTTAGCATAGTTAAAGTTTATATAGAGTAGGACACACAAAAAGCTAAAATTTATTTAAAATATGTGGTACAAATGCTTTCAGTTAAATAAAATATATAAAATATATAGACTTAGTACAAGGTACTCAATGCCTAGTATCAAATACTTAATAGTCTGTGGTAAAACAATCGCACAGAGTAGAGATTGTTGCAAAAGAATTATAAAACTTTGCCAACGAATCAAATCAAAACTAATTGATTTTGTGTGATTTCAAATGTTCCTTTTTCAATAGTGGATGGAGTGTATGTCAAAGCATAAAAAGTGTCAAATTACGGTCGAATTTCGATCAATTAAGTGACCATTAGTAAGTTTTAATACCTAAGTAAATAATTTAATTGTTTTTCTTTTTAAGTTTTTTTATTGTCCTTAATTTGGACCTACCAACACTTTTATTTACTCCATTTTTCTTAAGGTTGACTGGTAGAGAATGCTTTAGGGCATTAAGTCTGCCCTTTGTAGCTACCAGTTGAAGGTGTGTTGCAATAAATGATAAATAAATAAAAAATAGTATTTGCAGCCAGGAATTAGTCATGTTGCAAATTTATTTCAAACTAAATTAGTTAGCATACGTTAATATCCCAATTGGATATACGAGTATACTTACATTATATTCTACTAAGCCAGTGCTTATCTACGATCCCACCTGAAGTGGTGATGTAGCCTAAAATGGTGAAGGGCACTGACGTAATAAAAGCCTATTCACTCTTGCCTTGAAGTCGACCACACTGTAATCGGATGGAAAGACAGATGCTGGCGACTTATTCCACTCCTTTGATGTATGCATGATGAACGACGTAGCGAACCGTTTGGTGCGAATGCGTCCTGTAGAAAACCGAAAGGCTGGCTACTTTGCGTCTGTATTCGAGGCTGGTAAAATTGATTACAAGCTACATAATGTGTACACGATTCTTTCAAGCCCGCGTCGGCCGTCGATTTCTTTAACTTTCCCTCTATTCCTCGGCCGTTAATATTAATAACGTAACTTAATTGCTACAATCGGAAGTGACTATCTCCTTGGCCTAGTGATCGTAAACGCGACTTTTGAACACGAGGTTCGAATCCCGAGTCGTGCCAAAAATATCAGTTATATAGTTTTTCTGTTAAGAAATGCTCAGTAACAGCCCGTAGTCAGGAAGATGGAGGTGTATCACCCCCGTGACTCGGAAAGCACGAAAAGTCCTTGGTCCTGCACCTGATATCTCTCCGATCGTGTCGGTTTATCGTCCCCTCAAACAATGAGAGTGAGGGAATAGAGAGTGCACCTGTGCTTGTGCATACACTTGGACACTATGATCCTGTCCTGCGCAGATGCCTAGTCACCATATTGAGGCATGCTGCCGTGACCGAAATTCAGTCAGGAAGAAATAATTATTATAATAAGAATGCCATTCCATTCTCACTTTTACAGGTTGGTAAAAAAGACGAAAATAGAATAAACTTAAAATAACCCTTCATTATTCCTGACTTATTTAAAAAGTCGAAACAGACCCGCTTCTTTACAATATTTGTTTACAATGTAGGAAGAGACAAACTCAACTTAACACAAATAAAATAAAACGAGATAAAATGAAACCAACTGAAAAAATCTATTGCAACTATTCCATAGCTTTTGTTAAAGAAATAAAAAGGATGGAAAAGGCATCCTTTCACATCGGTAGCTCTTTTTGTTTGGATTTCAATTAGGGATGTAAAGATTGATTCCGCATTCGGGCCAGCCTTTTTATTTTCACGTGAAATAAAAGTGCACTGCACTGAATTAGTTTCGTGGACTCTTTTTGTATTTCGAACAACAGTATAATGTTTTTTTGGTAGAAGTTTTGTTTAAATGTATTCACCGTAAGGTCTGTTTTTTTTTTAATAAATTTGGAGTGACAAACGAACTAACTGGCCACATGATGGTAAGTAGCTACTGCAACCCTGAATAAGTTGTCACTGCTGAGGACTAAGGTCGAATTCCTGTAATTAGACTGACCCTCATAAACCTGGGACCACATACATTCTGTACGTGGTAGAGCCATGCTGCATCTATATTACTGGTATAGTTGCAGCACGAATGGGTCGGCTCGACCAGGGAAGGACTACGTTCTCACACAATATTAGCGTTAAATAGCAGCTTAACGCTGCTGTATTTCGTATGGTGAGTGTAGAGAACCGGAGACCCCTTCTTACTGGAAACGAGGCATTTCATCTTAGTCCTCACGGGTGACAACGCATCTGTATTTTGATTCGTAATCGAAGATAGATGTAGATGTCTATGGGCCACAGCAACCACTTACCATCAGGTGAAATTTGTGCTCGTTTGTCACCCTTATCATATTAAAAAAACATAGTCATGCGATCAACAGTTGCCTTTACGACCACTTGATCAACGGGGAGAAATTTTTTTTTATAATAACACAATTATAGTAAAACTAATAATAAAAGTAATAATATAATAATAAAAATATATAGTAATATTATAATAATAAAAATAATAGTAACAATATAATATAATAGTAATAGTATAGTAATAGTATAGTAATAGTAATACGAATAAAACGTGGTAGAGCCTTAGTGTGTTTCGTATCTTGGTCGAGTGACAACGCATCTGCATTTTGATTCTCAGTCGAGGATAAATGTAGATAAATAGATGTCTATGGACCGCAGCATCGACTTACCCTCAGGCGGACCGTGTGCTCGTTTTTCAACCTTATTCTATAAAAAATTATAACATTAGATCAGCACTAGAAAATCTTTTTAATTGGAGATTGGCTGGTTGTGCACATAAAATTTTTAAGTAACGTTATTGCAATAGGTAGTAATTTTTTCTGCCTTGTTCGTGTATTGGTTGTGTAATAATATCCAATATACCATATTGTCCCGGAGACAGATGGAAACAAAGCAGGAAATGGGCAGCAACATCTTTCTTATAAGATAATTGTGAAGGACCGATACGCGGTGCGAGTGGGTATTTTCAAAAATGCTATCTGTTTCATACCGCTTGCTCTGTATCACTCTATCGTGCGATAGAGAGAGTTGCAAGACTTGGAAGCAATCGTCGACATTTTCTTTTTGATATATTGTTTCGGGTGACAACGTTGTCACTCCCCTATACCTTTACGAAATTAGACAATTTTGGTCTCATTAAATTCAGTACACCTTAATCTAGGTCTGTACATTTTTTAGTAATTCAGTTTAGTTTAATTTAAAAAAAAACGCTAGAGGAAGTTTTTAAGCAAAAAATATTGATAATAAGATACCAATGACTTGTATCGTACGCAATATTTACCGCTTACCAAGCGTGGCAAATATATCCATGAGGCAATCTAGGGGGGAGGCCTATGAATATAGTCCATCAAAAGTGAACTTTTATACTATTTTTTATACTTTTATAATGTATTTTATATTTTTATAACGTATATACTTAATATTTTTTATACGTTCCCACAAAATCTAAGATCATGCTTGTCCAATCGCTCATATTACCCATAATTGATTATGTAGATGTGTGTTACCCAGATCTGTCTTAAGATCTTCTAAACAAGCTGGAACGACTTCTTAATAATTGTATAAGATTTATTTTTGGGCCAAGTATGACCATATTGCGGAATATAGATCTAAGCTAAATTGACTTACAATCCGCCAGAGGCGCAATTCCAGAATATCGCTTGTTCTTTTTTCCTTTTGAAATAACCCATCTTCGCCTTCTTATCTTAAGAGTAAATTTCACTATCTCTCCTCATCTCATGATAGGGTCCTACGTTCTTCTTCTAACAACAAAATCTGTATTCCTGTTCACTTCACCTTCTACGGTAACTCTTTCACAGTTCAGGCTACACGCCTTTGGAACTCCTTGCCCGATGACATCAGAAAAGCACCCAATAAGTAAGCTTTTAAAAAATTAGTCCGTAATCATCCATTGAAGACAACGCATTTTACTTGATTCATCCATTTAATATGTATTGCTAAACAGACGCATATATTCATATTGTATGTACTAATTATATATGTATATTTGTACGTATATATTTGTATATACGAGCGGCACTGAAAATTTCGGGAATCAAGGAAGTGACACAACATTACTATTTAAAAATGTATTTATTGCTTTTCGAAGTATTCTCCGCGAAATTTGACACATTTTTCCATACGACGGAACCAATTATTGAAGCAACCATTCCATTCGGAAGTTGGGGTCTCCAAAATGGCCGTTTTGTAGGCGTCCACAGCTTCTTCAGGTGATGAAAATCTATGTCCACGCAATTTCTTCTTTATTTTAGGGAAAGTATAGAAATCATTAGGGCTTAGGTCGGGGCTGTACGGCGGATGGTCTAATAATTTTATGTTTTCTTGCTCTAAAAACTCTTTTGTTCTGTGTGCGGTGTGAGAACTCGCATTGTCGTGATGGAGAATGATGCGGCGATTGCAGTTCTCTTTACGGAGTTCAGAAACGACCTGTGGCAAACAAATGCTAGCATACCATTCTGCATTATCCGTTCTTTGTCCCTCAAGAGGAAGTGGCCACCATTTTTTTTTGCAACACTCCGTGAACGAACAATTTTTGTTGGCTTTAACTCATTTTCGAACACCCAAACTCGTGACTGGTTTTTTGTTTCTGGTTCGTACGCATATATCCAGGATTCGTCACCTGATACGATGTTGTATACAGAATTTGAGGATCCTGCGTGAAATCTTTCCAGAGTTCTGACGCACCAAGTAACGCGAGCCGCTTTTTGCTCTTCACAGAGCGAATGCGGTATCCATCGGGAAAACAACTTTTTTACACCTAATTGTTCATGCAAGATTTTTTATATTTGACTCATGCCAATGTCTAAAGTTGCTTGAATTTCGCGGTATGTCACATGTCAATCTTCCTCAATCAGCTTACGCACAGCATCAACGTTTTCTTGGGTGACTGCAGTTTTTGGACGACCTTGACGGGGATCATCACTGAGCTTGTTGACACGTCCACATTGAAATTCAGCAAACCAGCGATAAATTGTGATTTTGGATGGGGCTTCATCACCAAATGCAGAAATCATCCGGTCAAGACACTGTTTTTGTGTTAAACCACTTCGAAAGTCATAATAAATCATCGCTCTTGAATTTTCTCGAGTCAATTCCATTTTATCAACGGCTAAACAAGTTTGACAAAACCTTGTGATAAACGTGGTGATTACATTCTCTTTGCCTTGTGACAAGACCGAGAATCTTTTTTTAAATAAATAAATGGTATTCGATTTTTAAAACCAAGGAGTTTTCAATTAAAAATATTTGAATATGACAGGAACAGTGGAAATATTCCATTCCCGATACTTTTAGTGCAGCCTATGTATATGTCATATATTTGTATATATGTATGTATACGTCATATATGTATAGTTTATTTATTAGTTAAATGTATGTGTTATGTAGTTAATTATCATTTTGTGTTATTTTATTCTATATTGCCGCACTTACGTCAAATTCTCACCACTACTATGGGTTGACTGGTAGAGAATGCCTCAAGGCATTAAGTCCGCCCTTTGTATTCTTTTGTTTTAAGGAATGCAATAAAGAATAAATAATAATAATAATAATAATAATAAGGCGTAGGGAAGTGACGACCCCATCGCCCGCTGACGTAACGGTTATGTGACAAAACTGCTACGTCAGCGCAGTCAGTCAGCACCTTGCCAAGAGGTGTTAGCGCCGTGCCTCGGCAAAATTGGAGGTGCAAAGGCCCGATTGTGCACATGGCCTCACCATGAAACGGTGCCGGGTCTGGGCGTCTCCCGTTAACTGACGCCCAATACATGGATGATGGATTTAAGAAATACGCGCAAAGGGCCGCTGCCTGGAGGTCGCCAGGGCGCGTCTGGAGCTGGCGCTGGACGCGGCAGCATGCGAACCGCCAGTCGACCGCGAGGTGCTGCACGATCACCCAGCAGCCCCTCGCATCCATCATCCCCACCAGCTGGCTTGGTGTTGGCAGGGTCTTCGTTGGCCCAGCAATCAGCACCCGCCACTGGTGGAGTACGCCGCATGCGTTGGTCAATGCAAATGAATAAAAATGCATTGCGGGCGTATTTTGGGGCGAAAGGGAGAGAAATTGGAGGTTTTGGGTATCGGGCTAGGATGCACCGACTATTTGCTGAGCTGGAGCCATCTATTACCGTTACCGAGCAAAACCTGGCAGACCGAGTTCGGTACATCATGCGCTCAAAAATATTTGAAGACGCCGAACTCGAACGGCTACGACGTGAGGCTATTCCTTTGTCGAATGAAAATGCTACGACAGGAGATGCGGCTCCACGAGTTGCAGAGCAACCCGCACATGTAGATGCCGCCGCAGATCTCCTTGTAGTTGACTCAGGCGACGATGGAATAGTCGCCCCAGAACTAGAGCAAATGAGGAGCATAGTGGAAGAGGCGATTAGGGAAACGCGCAGTACGCCTCTCGAGAATCGACCGCGACTTCCCCGTATACCCCTAAGCAAGCGGAATCGGGCTGTCGTGAGGGCTCTCAACCCAATGCTGGTGACCTATTTGGAAGCCAGCCGGGACCTTTGCGAGACGGACTCAATTCTTTTTGGCGCCGCACTGGCAGTTTGCCGTATTATTGGCGCCAAACTTCCAAAGGCTGGACGCGCTACTAGACAAAGTAGCGCCATCCCAGCCTGGAGAAGAAGGATTGAGGACCGTATCGCAAAGGCAAGGGCCCTCATCGGCAGGCTGATAAGCTTCAGGTCGGGCAATAATAGGCCGAGAATTGTGCGCACCGTCAGGATGGCGTTTGCTGGGACAAATATCAGTTTGTCCCAGCCGGATATAACGCAAAAACTGACGGAGCGCATAGACGACCTGAAGCAGAGAATCGCTGCTTGGGGGAAGCGGATTCGGCGATATACCGAGAGACACGGTTCAACCAGAATCGTCTCTTCCAGAGTGATCAGAAGAGGCTCTATGAATCATTGGAGCGACCAATGGTACGTGGAACGGGCCCAGCACCGAATCAGGCCGACACTATCGCATTCTGGCGCGGCCTGTGGTCAGAGCCCGTAAACCACAGTGAGGGCCCTTGGACGGAAGTTGTGGCGAGTCAGTGTGCAAATGTTACGCCCATGGACCCCGTCATCATTACGCCGGATGACGTAGCTGAGGCGGTCCGTAGGGCCCCGAACTGGAAAAGTCCGGGACTCGACGGACTGCATCACTACTGGCTGAAGGGGTTCGTGGTGTGTTACGCTGTTCTCGCCCGACAGTTTCAAGAGGCTCTCGACCAAAAGTTGCTCCCGAGCCTCTTCACTACTGGGATCACTCATTTGGTTCCTAAAGACCGAGATTCCACAGACCCGAGCAAATACCGCCCCATAACGTGTCTACCTACCATATACAAGACACTGACATCCATTTTGAGCGCGAGAATCACTCGTCACCTGAACTCAAATCAGGTGATGTCGCGCGCTCAAAATGGATGTCGGGGCGGCGGTCGTGGAACCAAAGAACCACTCCTCATTGACGCGGTCATTGGCAAGGTGGTTAAACGCAACCGTCGGAACCTCTCTGCCGCCTGGATAGACTACAAAAAGGCATTCGACTCGGTGCCTCATACATGGCTGAAGAGAGTCCTCGAGCTGTACAAGGTTGACTGTACAGTTCGAGACTTCCTCGGGCAGTGTATGGGGCAGTGGAGTACGATCCTTTGTCATCTAGGCGAGCGGATGACGGCTGCGGAGAACCACATATGGATAAGAAGGGGTATCTTCCAGGGCGATTGTCTGAGTCCAATCTGGTTCTGCCTCTCTCTGAACCCTCTTAGTACCTTACTGGAGGGTTCCGGGAGGGGATTTCAGCTTCGGAGAGGAGGTACAAAAGTGACCCACCTTTTCTATATGGATGATCTCAAGTTATTCGCCTCCAGTCGCTCTCATCTTATGGAATTGCTAAACATCACTTGTGATTTTAGCAATTCTATTAGAATGGAGCTGGGGACGGATAAGTGTGCGGTCCTCCATGTCGAAAGGGGTAGGGTTGCTAACTCTGAGGGCATAGACTTATCTATGCCCATCAACATAAAGACCCTATCCGAGGCTGAAACATACCGATACCTGGGTATGTCACAGAACATAGGTATCGATGAGGCGGACATGAAACGGTCAGTTTGCGGTGTGTTTTATGCACGCTTGACAAAAGTGCTTAACAGTCTTTTGTCGGGCGTTAATAAGACACATGCATATAACGGTTGGATCATGCCTGTTCTCATGTATACCTTTGGCATGCTCAGGTGGACTCAGACCGAACTGAACGCTCTGGACAGAAAAGTCCGCACTATAATGACGTCCCACAGGATGCATCATCCGAGATCGTCAGTAATGAGGCTGTACTTGCCGCGGAAGCATGGTGGGCGCGGCTTTTTAAGCGCGCTTACCATGCATAATCGCGAAGTGTGCAGCCTCCGTAATTACTTTCTGACGAGAGCGGATGATCCATTCTATAGGGACGTTATTTCTTGTGATAAAGGACTTACCCCTCTATCCTTAGCCAACGAGCAATGGCAAGACCCGGCAGTACAGAGCATTTCCGACCGGGAGACCGTATGGAAGGAGAAGGAGCTCCACGGGAGGTTCTACAAGGCTCTACATGAGCCTTGCGTAGACACAGTCGCCTCCCTCCACTGGCTACGTTTTGGTGACCTCTTTGGGGAAACCAAGGGTTTTGTCTGTGCGATACAGGATCAGGTTATTAAGACCAACAATTATCGGAAATACATCCTAAAGGATGGCGCCGTCGACATCTGTCGAGCTTGTCGCCATCCCGGTGAGTCACTTAGGCATGTCATCTCCGGTTGTTCGGCGCTTTCTAACTCTGAGTATTTGCACAGACACAACCTAGTAGCCAGGATTCTACACCAGGAGCTCGCTCTGAAATACGGTCTCGTGGATCGGAAACTGCCATATTATAATTACTTGCCGGAAGCCGTGCTCGAAAATGACCGCGCCAGGCTCTACTGGGACCGGGCCATCATCACGGACAGGACTATTCTTGCGAATAAGCCTGATATTGTGCTGATGGACCGGGCACAGTCAAGGATATTTTTGGTCGACATTACCATTCCTTATGACGAGAACCTCGTGAAAGCCGAAACAGATAAGTTGACAAAATATCTGGACCTGGCTCACGAGGTGACCGACATGTGGGGTGGTCTGCCGGCCGAAATTATTCCTGTGGTCGTCTCTGCGAACGGGTTAATCCCAGTCAGCCTCTCGGGTCATCTGAGGCGACTGGGACTCCGTGACGGATCGCTCCAAGCTCAAATGCAGAAGGCGGTGCTCCTCGATACCGCCCGCATCGTCCGCCGGTTTCTTTCCCTTTCTCCCTAACCCTCGGCCGTTTGGTCTCCCCTGCCGAGGGCTTCCATCTGGTTGGGTTTTTATATATTTATGTAATTTTTATGTATTTATTTTATTTTATTGATATTTATGTAAGTTTATCATTTTCATTTACAATTATATATTTATACAGCCCAACCAGATGAGAAAACTATACAAATACGCCATAATAATAATAATAATAATACATTTGAGCAGATTGAACGTAATATTTATAATCTATTTTCTTGTTTTCAGGTACAAACAGAACGTCAATCAAGACAAATAACAGATTGTACCGGCTTCCCAAAATCACTCGCACTCCACACGTAATTACAATACAACGACAGCGGTAATGGCTTGGTATTAACTACCGTTAACTGACCAACTACGAGATTGCAGTGCGGGAAATGAAAACCGACAAGTAAACATGTGAAGTGAAAATGTTGAGAAAGATGTTCGCAAAAACAGATAGATTTTCAGACCGGAGAAAGAGCAGGCTTGCGCGATGACGTCACGATACCGATTCTACAACTGTATAAAGTAACCAGATAGATTTTTTTTAATAAACGCTTAACTAATTAACATAGATTCGCTTCTTTGTGTGTTGCCAGTTGTAACGCGTGTGTGTTTACGGTATTCTTTATTTGCGCGTACATTATAATTTGGTTGTTAAGTCGATTTCATTTTCGTATTTACTCGGAAGCAATATTAGGTAAGAGGCCTTTCTACAGTGCTCGCGAATTCAACTAATAAATATTTATCTGTAAATAAGAAACGTAGCTTTTAATATTTTGTCTGTTTAAAATAAATAGTTTTATTGTATATATTTCAAGCAACAAGGTCATTATATAACGCTTGTATTTAAATTTGGCACAGTTCGGAAACAAAACGGGTATTAATATAATTCGTGTAAAATACTCCTGTACAAATATAATATAATTTTCGATATCTTCAAAATATTAATCCGTTCCTACGCAATACTTCAATTAAAATATAAAACAGAAACGTTTATAATCGGGGCCAATGTAACAATTTCCACTGTCCGTTACAATAAACGTCAGTATAGTTAGCTCAATCACAATTCTAAATTTGAAATAATCGACTTAGTTAAACAAAATGGTTCCGAATGCAACAACGCTATATGCCGCGAAGACTACCATGAGCACTCACATCAACGGAACTATGGGACTCAATTCCTCGTTCCTGGTCCCGACGTACATAAGCCAAGAGGAGTTCCTAGCACTACAAATGACGAATACATCAGATGCGAACACAACATCCGTTTCCAACGACACAATAATCAATCAAGTGATTTTAAAAACATGGTATCCAAGTGGTTACTCGCCCGCGCACATAATCATAGCGTCCGTGGTGGTGACAGTGTTAATGATAATGGTGGTAGTGGGGAATATGTTAGTGATAATCGCGATTGTGACAGAGAAAGCTTTGAAGAACATACAGAATTGGTTCATAGCCTCCTTAGCAGTGTCGGACTTCTTTCTAGGACTAGTGATAATGCCTTTTTCATTGGCGAACGAATTAATGGGGTATTGGATTTTCGGTTTTTGGTGGTGCGAGATACATTCCGCGATGGATGTGTTGTTGTGTACAGCGTCTATTATGAATTTGTGCCTCATTTCTCTGGACCGCTACTGGAGTATAACGCAGGTGAGTTGTTAGATATACTGCTATTTTAATTATATTTGTACAATGTTTACCATATATATTATTTTATTAAGTTTACCCTGAGAGTATTTTATATCCGAAAAACCTTTTTATATTTTCAATTAGCACTGAAGCCATATTTTTCTTAGAACTGAAAAGTTTAAAGATACCTTTTAATATCTTAAAAGTAGAAAACTTTTAGATGGTTATCACGAAATTTAAAAATTGTAGAACAAAAAATACTAATATATGGAAATTTTTAAAGTAGTTTAAATACACACAAATTTTCACTAATAACCCTATTATACTTCAAATTTTCCAATAATTTTATGTCAAACTTCAACATAAAAAAGTTTGGAAAATCTTAAAGTGCACGACTCATAATGCTCATATGATCATCATATCATCATTCAGGTCACTCCATAAAATCCAAGACGTATTTAAGTATAAATATATACGTCCTACTTACTTTTAGTACGTAGTACCATTATTTATTCTGTACTTTTAAAATATTGTAATAAAAATATGTGATTATTATAATCAAATAAAAATAAAAAATAATAAAAAAATCAAACATGTATGAAATTTTGTTTTTCGAATATTTTGTATTTGTACAGCGATCTTTTTGAGCCGCTGCAAATAACCGATACAGTGCCCACTCACGACGGTGTTTGACGCCGAAGTGAGTGAGTGAGGCAGTTATTTAGTAAAACAAATTAATACAAGGCTGCCAAATCACCGAAAATTTCGACATTTCGCAGCCGAAAAAAATTAATTATAACTAAACAAAACCAAATTAAACTGCCATTTACATTCCATGGCTTCCCACATGATAGACGAAGAGATTAAAAAATAGATTGAGTTAAACAATTGATACTTTCAAAAGTTATCGTGTTTACCACTCCATGCGGACTTGATAAATCTACACGATAAGCCACTAAAACCACATTTTACGTAAAAATAGCAATTAATCGGTTTAAAAATATTAATAAATTCAAGAATAATTTATCTTTCTGACAATGTGCTTTTTATATTATTTATATTGTTGAATATCTTTAGATACGATTTTATGCGACAAAACGTTGGAATCTTGATTTTTAGGCGATAATAGAACATACCTACACGCTTAAGGTATGTAATATTCTGAATAAATTAATATACTCCTAAATACTACTTTAGAAAATTGTAAAATAAAGAATGAAATTAAGCATAAACACCAAATGTAAAAGAACTAAAACGATCTGTTTTAATTTATTACATTAAATAAATTCGGTCTTTCTAGGTCTCTTGATTTTAATTTCAATTAAAAAAGAAACAATACAAACTTGTTTAAAATACTGTGAAGTTTACGCAGAGTTCTTAAAAGATGTACTTTTATACAAAGAGTAAAAACAAAATAATTAAATACTTTTTTATGTAGCAGATGGAGTTATTTTATTAAGTGAGTAGTTTTCTAGTAGCTATTTACTGTAAGATTATCCGAAATTTCTTTCTGCCTGATAAACATCTCAGTCTTTCGTGCTAAGCAGGCTAATTCTACGGTAGTTTTTATAGTCCTGCTGTGACTTTTTTCCATTATACAGTGTATAACGTCTTTCCACCAGTCTTCCAGTACTTATTTCAGTTCCTAGTATTATTTTTTAATAGAATAAGTGTGACAAACAGTCTTTTTGTTTGTTGCTGTATTTCGTATGGTGCTAATGTTGCTGTGTTTCGTAAGGTAAGTATAGAGAACCGGAGACCCTTATGACTGGAAAGGAGGCATCCCATCTTAGTTGACAACGTATCTGCATTTTGATTCATAATCGAAGATAAAAATGTAGATTTCTATGGGCCAAAGCATCCACTTACCATCATATTAAAGTTTGTAAAAATTACTTTGCCTACATCCACTCCATAAAATAAAATGATGTGTCTTACCTAGTTTGAAGAGCACCTCCCGCTTTTCCTCAATTGCGCTTAACTATCAGCCACAGCAAAGACTATTTCACCTCAGGTTGCCTCGTATAGAGGCGAAACACGTGTCTATTGTCGTCTGTATTGTCTTTCCTAGTGTAGTTGTTGGGAGCTGTGCTGCTAAGATTAGAGCTTACGAGGATAGTGCACGCAATTGATGGTCACTTCGTTTTCATAAAAAAATATACTTGGTTACGAGGCAATTGCTATCTAGGTCTTTATATTACTTTGTGATATAAAATTTATAATATTAAAGATTGTAAAAATTAATTTTATGAAATAAAAAATAGTTTAGTTAAATTCAAACTAGGTAAGGACACATCACAATATTATTTAATTAAGTGAATATAGGCAAAGCAATTTATGTATATCATCTTCGAGCCATTGAAAAAGGTATAATAGTGCAGCCTATAAAGGTCCCATTTCTGAGCACAGGCTCTTATTTCTGAGAGAGTTAGGAGTGAACACTACCTTAACAAGGTAGTGTTAACTCCTGCCCCAGTGCTTGTTAACGGACTTCATATGTGTTCGATGTTTTTTATTTGTTCACCTTACGATGTTTACCTTCACTACCAAGCACGTGGTAAATTAAAAAACTTCAAATTGCAATTAAAAATTTTATAGTTGTCGGCGGGGATCAAACACGGGACGCTTGCGTACTGTTAAATTTGCGCCGAGAGTATCTAAGTCCGAACCAGTATTAAAAAAAAACTTTCCCTGAGAGTAATATTAATAAGGGAGTAGAGCAGTGCGATAGGTTAATCGCTCCACAACCCTCTAAGAAATTGGAAGAGGCTTTTGCCCAGTAGGGGCACGTAAATAAGCTGTAACCTTACTTCAATTCAATCAAAGTCAATTCTGTCAGCTTTCCTTCTAAAACACGGCACAAATATGATCAGAATACCTAAGGAGAGAGCAGCCCTACACGTAGAAAATAGATTTTCTCGTGTTAATCATATTATTTTACTTAATTCGTTTAGAAATTGATACACCTCGCTCAGGAAAAGCGCGCAAATTTCAAAATTTTCGCTAACAATATAATAGTTTAATTAATGATCCTTATAACTAAGTTAACTCGGCATTCATTTATGGAACGTGAAATTTTAATATCAGATCCAAATTATGTTAAAATATTTACATACAAATGTATTTATTTGGAAGATTATTAAGTGGCGAAGCTTGCGAAGTCACTTATTGATTTCACGATGTCTGTCCGCCTGTCCGTCTGTCCGTCTGTCCGTCTGTCCGTCTGTCCGTCTTTCCCACGATTATCTCGAGAGCGGTTTCGAATTTTCTAAGTCTGTTTTCAGCAATCGATTACTGATCACCCAGGCATCTGAACCTTCTATTTTGAAACTGATTGCTCAACGGCAACCATTAGAAACCGCTACAAAGCTGATTGCTTCGCCACTTTGCTATGCTGTTAGCTTGCTAGGTTTATTTCATTATATATTTTGTTAGTGCGTTATTGAATTAATTCTAATCTTTTCAAAGGTTTATTTTTTAATTTTAATTGAGTCATAAATTGACTCGTAGAAAATGCCATCAGGCCATTGTATCCTATGATGTAAGAAAATTCAATAAAGTTTAAAAATAAATAATTAATTAAAAGCTTAAATTAAATTATTAATTCAAAGCCGTAGTTATGAGTAATGAATGAATAAAAAGAAGGAAAACACCGTGAGATATCCTGCATGTCTCTAAATTAAAAAAAAAATATTCGCAGACGTTTGAAATCCCCTCAGACGCAATGACTCGCAAACACTGGTGTCATATCAAAATTTATAAAATAATATATTTTATTTGGACTATAAGAAAATAAAAGTTGTTCTAAAATTAAATAGAATAATTTTTAAATTTATTTTTTCAATTTACCTGTAGTCACAGTTGAATTAAAAAATTTCTATTTAATTTTGATTACAAGTAATACGTATTGGACCGTGTAGAGGCGCTGTAAGAATATCAACTATCCCATATCACCCCGTGGCTGTCGTAAGAGGCGACAGAAAGAAACTGAACTAGGAGATGGACAGCAGAATTTTCCTGATAACAGCTGAATAAAAATATTTTTATTATAAAAGAACGAGAACGAGAAAAAAACTGCGGTTACTAACCCACTTGTCAACCGTGGCAACTATAGCAAATATACCTTCTATGAGACAACAGGGGTGGCCTATGTTCAGCAGTGGACTTTTATGCTTCGAAAAAATCTCAGTACTGGCAAGAACTAGCAAGCAACCTGGAGAGAACCACGTATATTATACAGCGAACACCCTTATTCCCATCCCCACACTGCCATGGTGATTCAAGCCAAGGTTCGTACCTCCTCCTGAGGAGTCCTTGAATCACATCGAGCCCTCACTAGCTAGAGGAGCCTCTCTCCGAAAGCGGGGATCTGGCTGACTCGGGACTGAAGTGACGTTGCACTCAATAGTTCGTAGGTCGTCGCTTACGAGCCTAATTCGATGAAGTTGTAAAGGCCGTCAGCGTACACTTTCAGAAAAAAAATATTCCCATCCCCAGGGGTTATTAACAATAATGTACATGGGCCACTCAGAATGTATTGTGAAGCTAAAAAAAGTTCTATGATTAAAGATTTATTATTGAATTATATTAATAAACTAGCTGCTCTCCGCGACTTCGCCCGCGCGTAATTTATTACGATTAGATTTCGTGGGTTTTAATTTTTTGCTCGGAACCCAAATTCATTTTTTTAAATAAAAGTAGCCTAAGTTAATTCTTATAACATCAGCTATCGGTCAGTGAAAGTCCGGTCAAAATCAGTCCAGCCGTCGGAGATTAGCCTAACCAAACGGACAGACAGACAGACGGAAAAACAGACAGACAAAAATTTTAAAAATCGTGTTTTTTTATAAATACCGTACATACTTTTATATGCATATAGTAAAAAGCTGTTATTTCCACATTACAAACAGACAGACACTTCAATTTTATATATTTATATAGATATATTGAACGCCCACCTCATTGCATAGCTAGAACAAAATGATCTCCTCAGTGATCGCCAGTACGGGTTTCGCCAAAATCGATCAACTGGG